CACTGATTGCACACAGCTGTAATCAATCACACATCCCCTATTTAACACTCACTCTGATCCCTTCCCAGGGCCGAGTATTGTATGCGCTTATCGCCAGCAGTGATAGCTACTCTACAGAGCCCTCGTTAGCTTCCTAGTCTTGCCCTGTCTGTTTTCTTGGTTTCTGATCTTTGCCTGTTTTCCTGGATTTATCCCTCTAGTCTCGCCCTTTTGATTCTGTTCGCCGATCGTTGACCTACGCTAGCCCTAGGATTATTCTTGTGTCTTTCCCGCCATATACCTGTTTGCCATTGTTCGACCCTGCCTGTGTTTCTGACCTCTTCTGCTTTAAATAAAAGCTTGCACATGGATCCGCACGTCTCACGTCTTGTCAGCCCCGTAACAATTACAAATGAAAACATAGTGGGGTCAAAAAATTCCCTCACAAAATTGTGCTAAGTGAAGCTCATTAGAACTTCCTTTTCCATCCGTTTCTGAGATATTGCGGTATATCTACAATACATATAGCAGCAGGGGGCAGCCGAGTGCCATTTGGTGATGGGCACACATAGGACATTGCATGGAAATATCTCACCATTTTCAAAGCTAGATTTGAAGGTGGTACCATTGGGAATCTTCTTAAGCCACCATAAGTGGCATAAACCTCTAAGATTAGTGAGCAAACAACCAACACACATTAGAGAGATTTCCTCAGATTAACTGTAAGAGATGCCTAAAGTCATTATAATCAAGCCAGTATGCAAACTAAAATGGACTTTAAGAGCAACAATTGGGATGCATTTGCCAGCATAAGGAAGTGGGGTTTAATCTGTATTTACAGAAACATGGAAATATTTAAAGCGGACGATCAAAACTAAGCGAAGCATCCTGATTGAAAACAACACAGGAAGGAGCTATTCTACAAATGCACACAATATACAGAAATACGAAATATAATGTAAATACACTTTGACAATTTGTTTATTATTTTTCATTTCATTTACAGTTTGTGACGTAAAGGGATCAATGAAAACGGCACAGAATTCAGACTCAAAAATAATAATATTTTAAGTACTTTAAGGAATACAAATATTTTGTCAGTTTTAAAAACTGCAATCAACAATCAAAAGTTCTGAGTTGGTTAAGTCTAAATTCAAAAAGCAGCATCGAGATTAAGAGCAAATGTTTCCAATGTCAGTATTATGATATGTGACACTGCATTAAGTTTCCTTATGATAGTTCACATTTTAAGAGATATTTAAGCTAATTATAAAAAAGGCACAATGTGTGTCCTCCATCCCTATAACTGAGAGACAACATGCACAGGTAGAAAAATGACAAGTCATTAAAAAAGAAAACAAAAGATCTCGTATATTGCTTATAAGGCCACAATGGCTTGGAATGCATGTGTATTAATATAATGTATTAAATATAAATTTAGAAGAATTATAAAGTAAGGTATTCATGTCTATCCACTCTGTTTTTAATCTAAGTGCAGATGCAGTCATTTTGAACTTTTGCTTTTGGTGTCAGCCATTTCCAGTTATTTTAGCTGCACAAAACGGTCTGTTATTCTGCTTGTTGCTGCAAACTAAACATTTGTTATATTATTTTAATTAGTTTTAGTTTATTGCAAATTGTTATTCTACTGGTTATTTAATTAAAGTAGCTAATAAATTGAAAGTCTCATACATTCACAGGCTGAATTTAAACTTTGTCAGGTTAAACATGAAAAGGTTTTGTCAAGATATCATTTAAAGTTTGTCTTGATGGGCCTTCTTTTAGTTAAAATTAGTTATTGCACTTACATAAATTGCTTCGATTTTCTGTTCATTTTAATACTTCTTAAAAAAAATCACAATTCTGAATGCTGTTTACTATCACAATTCAAATTCAACTAAAATCATATGAACATATGCATTTTCAATTCAATTCTGAATGACACACAACCCTAGTACATACCCATAAAATGTTAGCATGTTCTTGTTGCCAGTAAACATCATTGTCAATATGAAGTTACTTAAGAAAAATGCCTCCCTGCACACGTATGAGACACAAACCCCCGGTTTCACAGACAAGGCTTAAGCCTAGTCCCAGACTAAAATGTAAGTCTGAGCTGTGTCAACTGAAAGAAACTTGCACTGACTGATCTTAAAATATATCAGCACCTTTGTTTTGTCCCAAGATGCTCACCAGTAATGTGTTTTCTAAGGCATGTTTATGAAAAATTAACCTAATTGAACTATGGCCTAATCCTGGTTTAGTCTAAGCCCTGTCTGTGAAACCAGGCCAAAATGTTATAATGTGGGTACACAGTAGCAAGTATTACAGCAGGCACATACACTGGGGGTGAAGGAGGAGAGATTACAAAACTTTATATGTGATTTAAATTAGATATTCAAGTGTCAAAACAGGCTGGAATAATAAAAAAAAAAAAACAGTCCATGTTTTGTTTGTTTGTTTGTTTAAATCTTCAATACTTATTTTTGGACTTCCTCAACCTCTCCTCCTCCTCACCCGTGAGATTAACACCCTGTGGAGCTCACAATTTGAAAAGGGACACTTCTTTCTGTTCGGATGACACAGTCAATTAGTTAAAAGGAGCACAAAAATGGGAGTCTTTAACAACTTAATGGAGCGTTCCAAGGTGGGTTGGGAAGAATCACATATCTAGACAGCTGGGGACTCAGGCTGCTTCCTCAGCAGAAGATGCCTCACCGGTTGTTTCAGCAATGGGAGCAGCAGCCTCAGCAGTGACATCCTCAACATCAGGTGCATCCGCTGCTACTGCTTCTACAATCGCAGTTGCTGCCTCCACAGGTTCTGGGGTCTGTTTAGCCTCTGCATTAATCACCTCAGCTGCTGTGGTTTCCACAACCGCAGCTGCTTCTGCTACCGAGGCTACCTCGGCCACTGCTCCTACATGGATTACAGTAAGCAGGACTTCAAGAAAAGGCAACATGATCCAAAGAAAACCCAAGATCAAGTGTGATTAAATAGTTAAAGCAGATTTAGGAAATGTGTTACTGAATAAAGAGGGTTAGCATTATAACTAAATAAAGAGGGTTAGGGTTAGCAAATGTTACTAATTCCATCTGTCATTAATAGAACAACATTAGAGAGATTATGAGAACAGGATCATTCAGATTAGACTTCAAAGAATCTAAGCTCTTAGATTTAGCATTAGAAATGTATTGTTTATTTATTAATACTTCTGAATTAGTCCGATTAGTTTTTAAAGAACTTGCATGGAATTTTGATTGGCTCAAGACAATGTAGACCCATCACCAAGCCAACATTGAACAAATAAAAACACAGAAACGTGTAAGATTAAATGATTGATTTACCCCTAAATTAAAATTTTGCATTATTTTATAATTCCAAGTTATTCTGAAGACATACGATAGATTTTTGTGGCAAACAAAACAAAATAAATTTTTTGTGTTCCTTGGAAGTAAGACAATCATATGGGCTTGGAATGACATTTTGGGTGAATTACTGCTTTAATAACAAATGGTTATTACACACAATATCATACGTGTTGAACATTACCGTTCAGTTCAAAACTTTCGGATCAGTACGATTTTTTAATACTTCTGAAAGTAGTCTCTTAATATCCTCACCAACGCTGTATTTATTTGTTAGAAAAATAATGGTAATATTATGAAATATTATTACAATGCAAAATGACAGTTTTTTGTATTTTAAAATGTAATTATAGGTGCAGTATGTAATATTGACACTTTTGGTCAATTGAATGCATTTTTTGCTGAATAAAACGTATAATTGTTTTTCTCAAAAAAAAAAAAATCTTATGGATCCAACACGTTTGAATAGTAGTGTAATTAAATGTAAAAGTCACTCTGATGAAAGCACTTTTACCAAGTTCAAAGTTCCATTGATGTCATCAATCATCACTAGCTTTCTATTTTTTCTATTCTATCTACTTGTTTTTCTTTGTGTGAGTGTGTGTGCGTGTGTGTGTGTGTGTATATATACACCTTGCTACGTGTAATGCATTAGGCTAACCGAGACTTGTCATTTGCACTTATATATTGTTGCTCTTTTGTTATTTTTGACTGCTTTTATTGTCCTCATTTGTACGTCGCTTTAGATAAAAGCATCTGCTAAATGACTAAATGTAAATGTAATCAATCATGCTTACTTGCCACAATGTAAACTGTTTGCAAACACTAAAATGTTGCGCAACTACTCTTGGAAAAGTGCTTCTGTTCTGAGATATGTGATACACATTGCTGCAGGCAAAACAAGTAAAAGGGGACAGACCAAAATGTATAGAATAGTTTTGTTTTTGACTAATGAGTGCTGCTCAAAAACAGACATGCTGCTAAGTGAGAAGCTAAATTTATACTCACCCTCCTCACCTGATGGGAGAACAAAAAGTACGGTGGTTAACAACACACAAACAAGAGAAGTAAACAAGTGAAAGCTGCTCTAAATGTAGCTAGCTTAGTGGCTGCTGCTGAGTAACTGCAGAAAGAGGATCAGGCCTGAGGAACTGCAGTAACATACACATACCAGAACAGTGGCAAAACCGGACACCCTGCCTCACGGCATCCATCAATTCAAAGAATCCAAGAATAAAACTATTCTAATCTACTCTAATCCCATCTGTCTGTGTAAATTATTTCCGCTTTACTGATGCTGAAAGATTAACTGAGATCTTGAACAGCCAAAATGAAAACAGGTATTCATGACAAAAACAAAACTACACCACAAAATAAAATAAAAATCAACTTACTTTTAGGTCTGGCCTCGAGTTGAGCAATTCTTTCATTATATCTTGCACTGTCAGAATTTATTGTCTTATAAGCCTGTAGGAGGAAACAAAGTTTAGATGAAGATAAATGGTTGTTTTTGTAAAAATGACAATAATAACTTACAAAGCATTCTAAATAAAAGAAATAAAAATACATACATAAACAAGAGCAGCAGTAAGTGAGCTTCCACCAAGTACCACGTAAGCTATGTTTGTGCCGGACGCCGGTAGACCAAAGGACATCTGTCGTGTAGGGAATACAGCTATTAAAAGATAAACAGAGACATGTATCAGTTCATGCAAAGTAACTTGTTACAAAGTATTTTTGAGTAGAAGAATTAATTGAATAATTAACAGTTTTCCTTCACCACCCATCAATCCAATTTTGAAATATGAAAATCTAATACAATAATTTTTAATAATAACCCTATAAAGCCTACTGTATCATATTTGATACTCAAATTTTAGGGCCTCTAAACTGTCAGCAAAATCAAAACTTTGCTGAAAAACCTGCCATACACAATCTATGATATGCATTCTGTCATCTGATAGTGCATCCATTTTTGATGAACACTTACACTTAAGCAACTTAGTTTAACTTGATTATCCATACATTGTTTTTTTTAGAAAAATCATGTTAAAATGTGAGTATACCAAATATGATACATCAGGCTTTTTAGTTCTCAATCATCAATTTATTACATTGCATTCTATATTTTACCCCCACAATAAAAACCACAGAAAGCATCTGACTAGGATAAATGATTGGAAGATATAGAGTGACAACTGATATGTACATGCATTTTATAGTTGCTATACTGTTATAAAGATCTCAATAATTTACATTATAAGCTATCAGAATTTAATCATACTTTTTGACCAGATAAATATCAGCAAATGCACCAAATTCTTCTATATCATACTTTATGAGCCATAAAAGCCTCATGTAAATGTTCAATAAATTGTTCCATTTCATAACAATTAATTTTCTGACTATTATTTCATGTGTCAGGCTTTACTGGTTTAATTTTAAAAACGGATAATCCAAAAACAGAGAGAAAAAAACATTTCAGTATTTATCAGTTTTTCAAAAATGTTCCTCAGTTGTTGTAACGTCATTGTAATGTGCCGCTAATAAAGTTGTATCGGTGGATGAGTTTGATCAGTGGACATTTTAAGTGGCATGCAAAATTAGACGGGACCAGACAAACCTGATACAGCAAGCATGTTTCAGGCTTTTGTGTCTGTGCATGCATTTAGGCAAACACACATCCTCTGTGTAGCTGCAGTGAAGCAGCAGAAGGGAACACAATGTCCAACAGTTAAACTGCCCCTCCCACCCTCTCTCTAAAGCAACACTTCATCCCACTGGAGCACATGCACAGGACAAACTATACTGTCACATCACAAAATCTAGACTTGAAATAGTTATTTCCACTAGAACCCAGCATGAATTTCAGGAACGACTCCAATAGCAAGGTGACTGTCTGCACCAAGGTGGCCTGTGCCTCATTTATACATTTAATCTAATTTGCGTCAATGGACTGTTAAGGTGAAGGTAGACCAGCAGGTGTCCAGGACAATCCTGCTCTCTGAAAACAGTGATAGCTGCACACATAAACACTGGCATAGCATGGTGACGGCAGACATGTCAATGTGCAGAACCCTAGGCAAATTCATGTTGGCAGACAGCCCTGCATAGGGCCCTCTTCAAATATTTGGGTAGTTTTAGAAAATGCCTGAGCAGATTTTGTGAATACATCAGTTCAATCACAGACAGAATGCTGAGTCAGCAGAAAAACTGATCAGCCCTCAAAGTCAAATGGGCCAGAAGGTCTTCAGATTTTAAAACAATAATGAAAGGGCAAACTTTAAAAAAAACAAAAAAAAACGTTGCACGCAGTTCAAACCGAGTGAATCCTTTGACAGGAAATTAACTTTAAACAGATCAAACTCAGCTATTTCCCACAGATGCACTGGAGCAGGGAAGGGTTTACATGTCCCAGCTGTCTGTTATGGAAAACTCTGCATTAAAAACAAACTTCAAATTCAGAAAACTGCTGATGTCAAACATTTTGAAATGAAACGCACTCATCTTTAAAAAAATAAATCATAACTCGCCTTAACAAAATGTCATAATATTTGACACATTTATTTTAAGACAATTTATATATTGTAATGTTTTATATAACAATTATTACCAATACCAATCTAATTACCATTCATAAAAATAATACCTTCTAGACATTGTAATACAAAACCACACACACACACACACAAAACCTACAATAGACAGAATCTCTGAATATTCTATTACATAAAACACTCGTGGGTCTCTTCCAAATGCAAAGACAAAAGAGGTCTTTCTAGTTTACTGATGTACGTTAATAGAAATAATGTTGCATTTTCTATATTTTATGTTTACTTTGGGATGAATTTGATGAGCATATCTCACCTGTTACATAACAAACAGCAGAACTCAATGTTCTAGATTGGGCTAAAGTCGTAACCACTGACACACCTCCTAAAAGAGTCTAATTAAAATTGTCCAAACGTGTCCAGTTACTTTCTCCCATTTTCACAGTTTTCATTTCATATTTCATAGTTTACGCGCTTTTTATTTTTGGAACATGCACTCTTGTTATTTATTATTACTTGTTATTTTTGTAACATAGCTTTATTTTAGATAGCTATCTTTTAGCCTGCGTAGGCTGGTGAATTTTATTTGTAAAATCGAAACTGCATTGATTGAATGTTTTCTTACCATTGCCGAAAGGAGTTAGTGTTTTGCGTGCCAGAGGCGCAAGCCTTTGCCAAGTCGCTCTGCAGAACATCATTATTATCAGTGGTGCTGTGGATCCAGAATCGAAGTTACTGAAAACTTCAACTGACAAATTTAGTTGCCACAAGCGTGTCTATCTCACAGACTGATTCTTTTAAACTCCCTGTCGCCTCCCTCTGTGTCACGTCATGCATTAGGCTACACGTGGGCCGTGAATAGTATAAATATCTCATTTACACTGCTATAGATCCAGAACTTAAAAAAATAAAACTGAATAAACTATTGATTCTATTGCAGTATATAACTTTGCAATAGAAGATTATAATAAGATAAAGTAGAAAATTAAAAAAATGAATATTCTATTGTATACTTACTGTAAATCACAGTATAAATTGCTGTTTGTATGTTTATGATGAAGATAAATATGAATATAAATGTTACTCTAAATATTAAACAAAAATATTTATTAGACATTATTAATAATCCAAAAAAGCTATTCTAAAGAAAAATCTCTGGACAAAAATAAACATTTGCGTTTGTGCATCTAATTCAGTAGAACCAAAATGATGAAAACAAACACAAGTCACGACTTTTATTTTGAAATCGCTACCGGATGTTCAGAGCTTTTCTACTGGCTGCAGCGCTTTACGTGGAGACTGCGGGGAAAAGCAGCAGGCATGGCGGGGCGCGGGAAAAGAAAACCCAGATCTTTGCTGCAGGTACATCATATAAACTTCATCAGTTCGTGGCCAGCTAGAGTAAGGTGTTCAGTCAAACTATTACGTTGAGTATTTACTGAGAGGTTATATGCTGTAGCTCGTTTGTGAATGATTGTGGTTCATATGCCTTTAGCATCCACTACACTTCTGTTATTTTGTTTGTACATTCAATCTGTATAAGCAATGCTGTTAAATATTGTGTCAATAATCACCATGTAAATCTCTGTTCGTGTCTTCAGTGCTATTTACCTGCAGTCAGTTACCCAAAACGTGTCAGAATCAGAACATTTTCGTTTATTTTAAATGGTCCTTTGGTGTGACAAATGAATGAATTAAAATTAAAATAAGAGAAAAAATTGTAAAATATTTTTTATAGAATTTTAGTGACATAAACACCTTTGTTTTAAATATTCTATAATATTTTAATATTTAAAAAATCTTTTTCATCTTTCTCTTAGCATATTGTTATTCTCTGTCCCGCCACAACATCTAGGCTGTTTTTGCAGAAGAAAAGGAAGGAGAGGGGACAACAGAAGAACGAAGCAGCTTTGGACCAGTTAGAAGATGATTTAAAGCGAGAGGCAGAGAGGTTGGATTTGCCTGTGGAGCAGAAAACTAAAGCTATGAAACAAAGAGAGAAAAAGGTATGTTTTATAACGTGATGTAAAATGATTTGACACAACCACCTCTTTATCTCTGTGAAATATGTGTGGAAGTACCTGGGATGTGTTGAGCTTTCCTTAAACAAATAAATGATAATGCAATCAGTAAATAAAATAATTTGCTGATTTCCAGTCTGTTTTTTCTGTAGGTGGTCACAAAGACATTTCATGGAGCAGGAATTGTGGTTCCAGTGGATAAAAATAATGTTGGATATAGAGAATTGCCAGAAACTGATGGTAAACCTAAAAATCTGTCACAACCATTAACAGTGGATAGTGTGTGGAAAAAATGCTGCTGTCACATTGCATTGTGCAACATCACTATCAAAATGTATAAAGGGAGACAAAACAGTAAGACTTTAGTTTACAGTTTTTCCTTCTTCGTTTTGTTTACCTGTAGCAAGTCTGAAGAAGATTTGCAAAGCGATTGCAGAGGCCAAAGAGGATGAGGAGAGAATGAAAGCTTTTGCGCCCATCCAGGAAATGATCACCTTTGTTCAATTTGCCAATGATGAATGTGACTACGGCATGGGCTATGAGCTTGGGATAGATCTGTTCTGTTACGGCTCACATGTAAGATTAACACACGCATACAAATATTCCAACAAAAGTTCAACCTTAAATCCTTGCACAAATTTATATTTAAGCATTTTCATTAGTTTTTGCTGTTGTCTTTACTATCTGGATGCCAAACGTTAGTCAGGAACTACTAATTTACTATTGAACATGCTCTTTAACAGTTTTATTTATCTATTTACAGCTGCAAACAATAATGCTAATTAATAATCAACAATAAAAACGTTTTTAGTTACATAAAATGCTCTTGAAGATAAGTTTAATAATAAAAAGAATAGAGGCTATGAGCTTGGGATAGATCTGTTCTGTTACGGCTCACATGTAAGATTAACACACGCATACAAATATTCCAACAAAAGTTCAACCTTAAATCCTTGCACAAATTTATATTTAAGCATTTTCATTAGTTTTTGCTGTTGTCTTTACTATCTGGATGCCAAACGTTAGTCAGGAACTACTAATTTACTATTGAACATGCTCTTTAACAGTTTTATTTATCCATTTACAGCTGCAAACAATAATGCTAATTAATAATCAACAATAAAAACGTTTTTAGTTACATAAAATGCTCTTGAAAATTAGTTTAATAATAAAAAGAATAGAAGCTAATAATAAAATATAGAACAAAGAAACATTACAAGCAATAGAACAGAGCACTTGACCACTTTTGAGCACTTGTGTATGTAACTGTAATATATATATTACATGTCAATATTGCTGTTTGTTTATTGTTCAAAGGATATTATACCTCAGCAGGTCTTTAGGTCTCATGACTCAGCAGGTCAGCAGTAGATTTACATTGCAAGACATAATGCACAGAAATAATAAATTTTTCCTGTTTGTTTGCCACTTATGATATAACTGACTATGCTTACATTAATTGCTTGCAAAGACAAGCATTTCATCCAGAAAATGTATTTTTTACGTTTTAATATTGCTGAAAGTATTTATTTCTGCTAATGTAACTTATTCAAATGTTGACTGTTCCAGGCAGAAACGCCAAACGGGGAGGTGAAAAAAGCAAAAGAAGGGCAGAGGGACGAGAAGACCACTGTCACAGGGGAAATGAGAGAAGAAGTGGAAAAATTATACAAGCTACGCATGCCTGATGATTTTTTCCAGTTTTGGGACTTTTGCAAGGGTCTTAATGCTGACTGTCCGCAAGGTATCTGTGTTATGTTGATTGTTCCATATCAGCACTATTCGCATATGTTTTTGATGCATTATCATATGCATCCTCAAATTATTAAATGTATTCATATAAATATATTACATTTAATTAACTTAATTTTGTCTTGGTTAGTCAGGAACTACTAATTTACTATTGAACATGCTCTTTAACAGTTTTATTTATCCATTTACAGCTGCAAACAATAATGCTAATTAATAATCAACAATAAAAACGTTTTTAGTTACATAAAATGCTCTTGAAAATTAGTTTAATAATAAAAAGAATAGAAGCTAATAATAAAATATAGAACAAAGAAACATTACAAGCAATAGAACAGAGCACTTGACCACTTTTGAGCACTTGTGTATGTAACTGTAATATATATATTACATGTCAATATTGCTGTTTGTTTATTGTTCAAAGGATATTATACCTCAGCAGGTCTTTAGGTCTCATGTCGCAGCAGGTCAGCAGTAGATTTACATTGCAAGACATAATGCACAGAAATAATTAATTTTTCCTGTTTGTTTGCCACTTATGATATAACTGACTATGCTTACATTAATTGCTTGCAAAGACAAGCATTTCATCCAGAAAATGTATTTTTTACGTTTTAATTTAAATTTAAATTTCAGTATGGACTGTGCATTAAGTCCTGCAGGCAAATGCAGTGTTTGTGTCCAGAGATTCTCAGAAAAAAATTTATGCCTGCATAGCTGTTACCTTTAATAGCGATTGGGGAGAATGAAGCCAAAAAGGGCTGTACCATCACACAGATGGGGGACAACATCTTTGCAGCTGTTCTGTGAGTGTCATCAGTAAATAATATGAGTATAAATTAAAATGTATATAGATGCTGTTACTGTTCACCATTTCGGGTTCAAGTTGTCTTTTTCTTCATTTTTAACAATTCCGTTGCCTTCATTATTTACGTTTTAATTTAAATTTAAATTTCAGTATGGACTGTGCATTAAGCCCTGCAGGCAAATGCAGTGTTTGTGTCCAGAGATTCTCAGAACATTTTTTTTTATGCCTGCATAGCTGTTACCTTTAATAGCTTTCTGCTTTCCATCCAAGGCCATCTTCCAGCGAGTGTGTCCTTGCACTTTGCAGACACATTAATAGCCATTTCTGACAGATTTCTCATGATACAGAGTTCTCCCGGACAACTGACCACATTTTTTTTTTCTTCCCCTTTTGGTAGTATTTCTATAAAGTGGTACGCCAGCTGCTGCCAATGGCATACAATCTGCTGAAGAGAGGTCTGTTTGGAGAGATACTGGAGGCGCACCTTACCAGCCGTTCCCAGGACAACCTTGACCAACTCGCTGCTGTCTGACGTATATTGAGAGGATGATAAGCTATTCAGAATGACTTCCTGTAAATGGTGTTGGGGTGGGGTCAGAGACAGATTACACTGCAGTAAATTACGCTGTTAGGTGCTGCTACTTCATTGAAAATGCTACAAAGCCCAGGAAAGGTTAGTTTCTTAAACCTAGATTACTCTTTTCTAAAAGATGTATTGGTAATCCAAAATTTAAACATTTTGTTTTAGGTTTAATTGGTTTAACATAATTAAAATGAATAGGCACATTTTTTATTTTTTATTTTTTTTAGCGCTCACTGCTCATTCGTGCATTAAAGAGAAATCAAATTGAGTTTTTCTCGCCAGGTTTTTCATCCTGAGAATCAACATTTTGTGAGGAGTACTGTGCCTTTCCAAACCTGAATTTCTTTGATTCACACTGTCAGTCCAGTAAATCATAGGGAAATGAGTTATAGCTGCTGAAAGTTCAGTACGTTGCATACATTATTTATGATTTTGCTTTCTGCATTTCCATTAACATATTTTGCATAACCCAGTTGCTTGAAAGCAATCCTTCAATTTTCCAGTTTATTTGAGCAGTGACTGCTGAGTGCTGATCAACATCTTGGTTATGGTTTCAGATCCGTTTGTTTATTTTTGTGAAAGCAGAACGCTCTATTCATAGCAAAAGTGAGCTGATTCTTGTTAAAATGGTACCTTAAGTAATCTGTACTGAGAAACTTTAAGTTAGAAAATGAGTTTTCAGTGTCAATTTCTTACTGTCTTCATCATCATTATGATCATTCCGTTATCGTTGTCCAGTACTGTTCCAAAGTAGTTTAATAAAGTGTATATTTTTTATGTTTTTTTTTTATTGCCTGTGCTGTGTGAAAGAGGAAAGTGAATCATAATATATCCAATTGCTATAATTCTGCTTACACTGCAAATGTAAGTCTTTATTAGCAGCATATTAAATATAGGTTTCAGTGGCCTAAAAAGTGTTTATAAAATATATAATAAATGCAAAACATTTCATATACAGTCAAACCCAAAATTATTCGGACACCAGATATAATTTTTGATATTTTTCTTTATTAGTGGGTGCAGGACACTATAGTTCATTTATGTAAGTGAGGATAGCAAAATAAAGTAAACGGTGACATACTCAAAAATTCTTCATACAGTGGACTACCAGTAAAATTGATAAAAAGAATTTGGGACCAAATAAATGTCTGAATTAATGTTGGTTTGACTGTATATAATTTTATATATTATTGTATTTTAATAAACCGAGAGAGAATATATTCCACTTGTTATTAGCTACATGCAGTGCATTAAATATTACATCAAGAATTCCCAACCTGGGGTTAGTGAGTTTAATGAAAAGCTAATAATTAATTAAAGCATAAACGTGTAAAATAAGTCATTTTAAATTAACGTTCAAAATAAAACACTATATTTTTATGTTATCATTTTTTTTATGGTGTGTGTTAGCTAGTTTAAGTTTTTTTTTTTACCTAATCAAAATAACCCAACTGCAGTTTGATTGAGATTTATCTAAGAGTTATCTGTTTTTGCAAATGAACTCTTCATATATATATATATATATAATTTATGTTTGCTTGATTTTTTATTTTGTGTTATGTAACTCCTGTATTACTGCAACTCAGTTTTTGCCATAAAGATAGCCTTCGATTTTGACATGGCAATAAAAATAAATAACTGCTGCTACTATATCCCTGCTATTTGGGGTAAGTTGTCACAATGGAAACCTGCCATTATATACCCTATACGAAAAAAAGTAGTTATCTCCCACATAAAGTATAGCATAATTGCTTTGCACATACCTTGGTTTGATAATTTGCCATCAAATTAAATTCATAATTTTTGGTGTGCCTTAACTGTCCATCTACTATTGGGTTACGGTATATTAAAAAATACAAGCTATAAAATCGATTTTGATTTTGCCTCGTCATGTGTAAGTGGGGGTTTGGCTTATGGAGGAGGGGAGTGAGGGAGAGAGAGAAGCACGGGAGGGGGCTACTCAACACAGCGATGAGAACATCGCTCATATTGCGCTTCTGTTACACCATCGTGTATTTATCTCAGGCTTATCGTTAATTACCCTCATTCATCCTCCATCTCGGTCAGTGTTTCAGCACTGCAGCATCGGTGCCTGTGCATGTGAGCAGCGGGAGTGCCGCAGGACACCGCACTTGAGACCCGCACCGTACCGTCACGCCACAGGACATTCGTCTCCACTCTCCAATACAACCACAACATGAGTCGGAGCTTCAGCCCTGACATCTGAGGCCGGAGCACGGGTCTCGACCACCGCAGTATCGGGATTGTCAGATTCCGTTTCGCGGACGACATCACGCGCTGAGCCTGAATGTCAAAAAGCTCGGCAGAAAGTCAGAGCAGGGGCGGCTCCGTCCGAGACGTGAGGATGGCCTCTTCCAACAATACCTCACCCGAAGGAGGCTCTCCACCCCATCAGAACCGCATCCGCCAGGTCAGTGTGTGCGTGTATGGAATGAACAAAACGTTCTGCTTTCTGGTGTTCAGTGTGTGTGTGTGTGTGTGTGGGGGCGAGAGTGTCACCCGTGTTTCGCGGTCTTGTGGTCCATGATGCGGAGGATGAGGCGTTGTCCTGGTTACCGAATCTTTCTAAAGCATCAGTAGACTATCGCAATAGATGTTTCATTTCATCACGGCAGCGTTGTCATAGTGTCCTATCTATCCATCCATCCATCTATCCATCTATCTATAATAGCTAAATTTACAGAAATTTGCTGTACAAATACACAAACAACAAAAGTTTATCATAGCAAGCCTATCCATGTTCAGTGTGTGTGTGTGTGTGTGTGTGTGGGCGAGAGTGTCACCCGTGTTTCGCGGTCTTGTGGTCCATGATGCGGAGGATGAGGCGTTGTCCTGGTTACCGAATCTTTCTAAAGCATCAGTAGACTATCGCAATGTAATAGATGTTTCATTTCATCACGGCAGCGTTGTCATAGTGTCCTATCTATCTATCTATCCATCCATCCATCCATCCATCCATCCATCTATCCATCTATCTATAATAGCTAAATTTACAGAAATTTGCTGTACAAATACACTAACAACAAAAGTTTATCATAGCAAGCCTATCCATTAATTATAGCCAATATTCAGTCATATTTCCTTTTAGGTTATGTGTATTTTTCACTGTAAAGCCTATTCAGTGACTTATTTTTTACTTGCAAAAATGTTTTGTCTTGTAAATAATGTACATTTAACCATAAATGTGCAATTCATACTTCTCACACTTCATAAAACCATCATTTTTCTTTATGGTGAGCTAATATTTTGCCATTTATATTTTTTTCCTGTATATGTATTGCATTCGCTTTTCATCTTGGTCCAGCCTATACGTGATGCTGTAGTGATCGTGTGTGTTAACTGTTAGTGAGGTTTCACACCTGACAAACTGCACAGTTAGAGCAGCATTGTTTTGATCCTTAGGTGCCATTCTGCCATGTTTGCCAAGTAGCACTGCTTGAGATTCAGTTTATTAACTGTGGTGTTTTACGCATGAAATCACAGCTGATGACCCTGCAGAGCTTGTTAAATAAATAAAATAGAGAATAACAGTGTTTTTTCTATCACATTCTCTTAAGAGCCCTACAATAACAAGCTTAACCTCACTCACCTTCCCCATCTGCTTATTTGAAATCTCACAAACCAATTCATCAATAAAAACCGGCCATAAATAAGTGATGGACTGGCTGAGTCATGTAGGGCATTAGCTTGTCTGCATGGATGCATAGATGCCCTTCTGTGTCACTCAAAGGTGTAGCCTGTGTGATTTGTTGCTCGGAGCTTTCCCAGAGATATTTTCCACTCTATTTTCTTTATTATTTCACTTTTAGAGCTGTCAAGGCTTAGTGCCTGTGGTGGGTTTTTCTTCATGGTCTGTTGAACTACATTTAAACTCTAGGTCTAAATTCGCCTTTCATCTCTCCATTCTGATGTATCCTAAATCAGTCTTCTCACTGTTTCCGCTCTGACATCATGGTTGCACCCTTTGCCAAGTGCTTTTGTCAGATTTAGCTGATATGAATTAAACTGTTCAGCCATGACAATGCTTTGCATAGCTCTTGTATCAATTCTGAGTTTATATCCCACAATTCAGACTTTTTTCTCAGAATTGCGAGTGATATAAACTCAAACTCCACTTTGAGAAAAAAGTTGTTAACTGTTAGGTAAACAAGAATTGTTTTTTTTAATTCCTTTGTGGAAACGGGCTTCCATATACACAGACCTGCATCTTGAATTCAAAAATAATAATAATAATTTTACTTAATTGCAAAAAAAGGCCAAATATTACCTAATTTAATGATGCTAGGTTGAAAAAAAATATATATTTTTTACATTTAACATTTGTTTCCACAAAATAATTTTTCATATTATGTGTTTGTCAGCTTTAATGCTCTTATCAAAATAACAAAAGCAGTCAAATGATGATAATTATATTTTAACTTACAATCTGCAAAGGAGTGGAAAATCTTTTTCCCCCCACAAAATCTGTAATTTTCAGTTGCTGTTTGCATGTAGAAAAATAGCATCATACAATAAGTTTGCATGTTCTTCTGTCACTGGCCATGATTCTAACCTTGAAATCATAAAATAATGCATTCAGAATCATTCAAACATATGAAAACCTGGCACAAAGGAAGATAATGAATCATGCCTTTGTGGCAGCTTTTCTGGTGATTGATGGATAGTACAAAATTTCTTCACCTTACAAATGGTTGTCGCTAGTAAAATGCTACAAAATGCGCATCATGTGTTGTGAGAAAGGAGTATTTTTTTTTAATCAGCACCCCAAAATTTGTAAGAAACCGCATGTATTGGATTTCATTCAGCAAATATGATACAAATATAGATTATATGGAATATGCACAGCTTAAAAATATCATGTTACCTGTGGCCCATATGCTAAAAGACTGGGCAGAACTCGTTTTCTAAGGCTATTTCCTGTCAAAAACACACTTATGCATGTTCCTATCGGGTCCTGAGTTATGATATGAGAGAGTGCTGTCAGGGTCTCTCTGGGTAATTAATTAGATTCCAGTAATGGACCAAGCACTGCAGGCGTATACACCCAGGCGTCATCTTATTGCATGAATACCATCTACTGGCACTCCTAAAGTCTTTGTTCACTGGCTAAAACAATGTTCATTTGAATATGTGGAAGACTAGCGATTAATACATGCAGTGTGATCGTGGTTTGGATGTAATTACAGCAGTCCGTTTAGGAAGTAATATTGCATCATTTAATTCTATTAAACCGCAATCTATTCCTAAATTCTGTGCACTAACTTCTTGAGCGGGATGAATAGAGGAGGGGAGTGGTCCGAGAACAACAGGCCTACTAAGTTATGGTGCTTGTGATGCAGGTCTAAAAATAGGCTGCCATCAGTCTAGTCATTCCTGCCGCCATACTCTGGTTCCCCTCAGGAGTGGGTAGTGTGTTTCTACCTGCAGGGCTGGTTGGGAGGGTGATATTCGATTGCACTTCAGCTGCATGGAACCAATTGTGAGTGGATGGAAGAGTGGCACAAACACTGCTGTACAGAGCACTGTAGTGGGCA